TCAAAAAGATGAAAAACTCGAACAGCAGTTTGGTAATAATATTTAGTTATTGTTGCCATTTGTATCATTCGTTGAGCTGGTGAAATGGTCATATTGTCAATAAGTTGACCTAAATAAAATGCATTAACCAAAGATAAAATACAGTTCTACATACGAGTAGAACGAAGTAGAGTGTGATAAGTAGATTGCACTTTTTGAGCTAGAGATGCATCAACTGAGTATAGCAGTTCCATTGGTTGGATTTCTTCTTCCAAAGGGGTCACAGAGATTTGAAGTTCTTTCAAAACTATTTCTAAGTTCGTGGGCTTCATTATAGTTTTCATTTTATTTAACTAGATAGTATAATGATGTATACTTCTTTTTATAATATTCCTAATATCGATCATTATTCAATGATAATCTGTGGTTCTCATTCAGTTCGTTTCAGATATGGTTTTAAAAGATCTGCATGTATAGGATTCTTTCTAACTCGTCCATCCATTATGCAAAGTTTATAAGTTCTAGGTCTCACAATATCATATATGTTGAAAGGTCTATCAAATTTATCTTTAAATTTGTCCTCATGAATGTGTAACTGTATGACATTAAATAATAAAACTTTATCTCCAATTTGGTAAGAAATTCTAGGTCAATCCTTATTGTAACGTTCTTGTTGCTTTTATTGTTATTGCATAATATTCTGTTGTACATCTAATCGTCATTGTTGCAATTGTAATGAGATTATCTGTTAATGCTTTTCCATGGCATTTGATAAGTTTGTGATAGGTGAGAGTCGTCGTAATTGTAAATCTATCAGTAAAACTGCTTTTCGTCCATATAACAACTCAAATGGTTCAAACTTTGTTATTTCTTGCTATACAGTTCGATATGCGAATAATGCTGAGGTTAAATAAGTATTCCATTCTCCTTGATATTGTTCAGCATATTTGGCTAAATCGTACACAAAGTTCTATTAAAGTGTTCAGTAAGGTCATTGGTCTGGGGTGTATGGTAGGATAATCTATGTTTAGTTTCTATTACATACAACAAAGCAGTGACTAATTCATTTTGAAATGATGTAGTTTAGTCAGTCAATATCTCTTTTAATATTCTGTGTCGACATATGATTTTATTGTAAATAAATTAGGCAGTAGTTTAGGCAGTACAATCTGTTGTGACACTAGCTTCACCCATTTTGTCAAATATTTGGTTGCTACAATAATATACTTATTTTCTTTTGTTGTACGTAAAAGTAGTCTTATATAGTCTATTCCAATACAATCGAATGGTTGTCTAACAGGTATATATAGGATGCAATGGTTCTTTGAGTTTTAGTTTTCCTTGTCATTGACATATATCACATGTTCATATCCAATTATTGATTATTTTATACATGCTAGACCAGTAATATCGAGAGGCAATTTTGTTGTAAGTGATATCACGTGCTAAATGTCCTCCTAAAGGCTCATTATAAATATTGTATAAAATGCTTTCAACTTCATTAGTTTTGATTACGAGTAATGGTTGGGTTGGTTGCTTTTGATTATATCTATAAAGTTATTGATTTTGTATAAAATAATGTGAAGCTTGCTTTTGAATTGCATGTTGTTGTGCAGGGGTAAGATTTAAGGATATGTAAGTTGAGTTAGGTATTGATATAGGTAATGGTAGGTTTCAGGTTCTATATTATAGAGCTGTTAGTCATACTGCTAACACTTTCGCTTTCACTCTCAAATTTTGTCAGAATGGTTATGGGTTATTGTGGGGAAGTCGAGACAGTGCGTCAGCGTTTGAATGTAATTTCCTTTTTTTGTATTGAAAATTCTATAATGCGAATGATCCATTTTATGAATTTATGAGAGGGATCAGGTTTGTTAAAAAGCTATTGTAAAGCTGCATGATCAGTAATCAATTCAAATTGCTGGTGTAAGAGATAAGATCAGAAGTGCTCTATTCCCTATATAGTAGCAAGACATTCCAATTCAGTTAGAGCATAATTTCTCTCAGCTTGACTTATACTTTGACTGGCATAAGCTATAACACGTTCCTTATTGTTATTATCTAGTTGTGCTAATATTACGCCAAGACCTATATACGAGCCATCAGTAAAGAGTAAAAACTTTCATTTGAAATCAGGATAAATTAAGATCAGTGTAGTTATCAAGCATGTTTTTAGATGCTCAAAACCTTTTGTTGTGATTATCCACGCCCCCTTATAGAATTATCAGAAATGACAATTAATGTAGAAAAATTAAGAGATGCCCCCGAAGCATATTCCAATTTCTTGAATACTGAAAAAATAACAACACTTATTCGTTCTCCTCCAGGGACATGGAAAACCACTGCATTAAGAGAGATTATTATGGGATTGAAAGATAAAATACATGATATTTCTTCTTTACCATGCTATATCTGGATCTCTTACCGAAAGTCTCTTAGCAATGAGTCAAAAGCGAAACTTGACGAGTTAGAAGCATCAGGTTTTCGAATCTGTAATTACCAAAATATGCAAGGAGATTTATCTATAAAAGAATGGGATATTATCATAGTGCAAGTTGAGAGTCTGTTTCGTATTGAGTTCACAGCCCGTCCATTTGTAGCTATTCTTGACGAAAGCAATGCCATTATGCGTCAAATGTCTAGCGGTACAAATGCACGGGAATCTGAAAACGCAATGCGTGATGTCTTAAGATCAGCAAGACATGTATTGGCGATGGATGCCTTTGCGAATAAATCAACATTAACATTCCTTAAGACATATTATGGTGAAGACATTCGTATAATTGATAATAGATACCAGCCTCGTGTGGGTGAGACTGTTGAAGTTCTTTATGATCTGAATAGCGGAGCTGAAGCTATGAGAATAGGTTATGAGTTTTTGAGGCAGGGTAAACGTGTGGCATTTGTATCTACCGGAGCAGTAATGGCTAGAGCGTTAATAGAAAAAGCGTCTAAGTTGTTTAAACCCGATAATTCACCTGTTAGAGCTTGTGCATATTATGGGGATATGGATGGGAAGCAGAGACAAAAAGACTTCTCTAATATTGATGTCGCTTGGGGTGAGCTTGACTGTGTAGCCTATACAAACACAGTGGAAGCAGGAATATCATTCGAGGTTACGGGCCATTTCGATATAGTCATAGCCATTACAAATATCGCCACTCCAGTTCATGTTGAAGCTCTTGTACAAATGCTTTACCGAATTCGTGACTGTTCTCGTCGTATTATTTTCATGTTCTATCAGAAAAATTCTAATGAGCTTTTTTGCCCACCAGGCCGTAAGAATATTCGAGCAGAACTTGCAAATGCTCGGCTTAATAATTTACCCACAGCAATAAAGAGACATCGTGAATGGAATAATAATACCATTTCTTATAAAGTCGATGAGTCTCCAGCCGTAATAACATTCATTGAAGTCGAGCATCAGAAACGTCTTTCTGCAAGATATTTTATTGAGAAGCTTTGCAGTCTTATAGCCAGTACAGGCGCTTCTCTCTAACTTATAAAAATGGATGATAGCCGAGGAGTTATAGGGAATCATAAAAAAGTCCGCAATGAGATTAGGGTTGAAGCATTAGTTATCAAGAATACAGATTTTAACACAGTTGCTACTTCCCAGAATCTTAGCCCTGAAGAAGCTGAAGTCCTTAAATTCGACCAAGAACGTTCTATCGCAGATACTATGGCACTTAAGCGTTTTTATATGCAGAATCTTTATTGCAAAGACATGAGTATCGAGGACTGGAATAATATTTGCAATAGAAAATTCGTTGAAAATTTTAGTTCGCCTGAAGCTCAGAAGCATTTCTTACGGTTATCTTATTTTCGAAGACAAGGTCATGATGAGGAGAATGCAATGAAGGGATTGAAAGCTGAGGAAAATATACAATGGGAAATTGCCTGTTATAGAGCCGAAGAGAATCTGGAAAAATCAGTAGCAGAGGACTTGCGTAAATCTTATTCGGCAAATCATTGGAAAGTTATACAAGAACTTTTTCGAATATTAGGCTTTACTGGCATTGATGACAGGCGTACTCTTTCTGGTAATATTGCATCAGAATCATTTATACGGTCTTGTGAAAGGTTTATAGAAATCCGAAACCAATCTTTATTACTCTTTGGTTTTAAGTCTCGTGCAAAGGAAACACCAGATCTTAAATCAGCTATACAAGCAATTAATGCAATTGCTGGAAATTGGTGTGGGTATACCGTTGAAAGTGATAAAAAAAGAATAGGGCCTAGAGGGCAACAAGTTAGGCAATACTCATACCGAATTAATCGCCAGCCATATAACGGTACTGGTTTTGGAGATAAAGGTGCACCAGAGCTTTCACCATACAGGCCGAAAACAGATAATGATATTCAGGAACTCTTTGACTCTATAGGATAGGAAAAATAATACTTAGGCCAGATCGTTATTCAGCTAAGTCTTGATCATATTAGATTCTGTTTCAGTTTTTTTACTTTCGCGTCAGGCATAGTCATAAATTCCACCATGTGTACTACAGATTCCGGTCTTGAAATAGGTTCCCCGCTCACAGATAGGGCATATTGTTCTAGGAAGGGCATTAAAATGTCTGGCACACCCTAATTCACTCATGCATCCTTTCCCACAAATCGAACCATCTCTTTTGATGTATTGGCAGATAAAACGACCCATACGAGATAATTTTGATATTAATATTCTTAAAACTTCGTCTTCACTTTTATTATAGATATTCAAAAATGCGATGTCTCAGCGGGTCATATCTCCCAAGATATAATCAGAGAAATGCTCATGCAAATCACTTTCGGCCAGGTGGGATATAATTTTTCGAATTGAATTTTTTTCACATAATATAACTAGATAACAGTTAGTATAGACATGGCTACTAAAACGGCTTGAGCAAGTGAATCAATTCCGCTTCGACCAACAGCCGAGATTCGAGAGGCCACAATTTATTTCAGATAAAGAAGTAGAAAATGAAGAGAATGTTCGTATTGCTATTGACATCAATATTTGTATGATATTGAATAGGCTTATGGGTTCAGAATATAAATTTTCAAAGCGATCTACTGACACTCCTGACATACCGGATTTCACCTGCCATCTCGTTGGTTCATTGATCTTGGTGATGGAGGCTAAAAGAAAGCATGTTTTAGAAGATATGGGCGAAGAAACATTTCCCGAGTTTTATCAGACGAGTAAAAGCAAGGATGTAATTCAACAAATCTATAATTATATGGAAGGAAACGAACTTAGATATGGCATTCTTACCACCTATGATAATCACTGGTTTCTACGACGAGAGCATGCAAAGCTCTGGATCTCAAAAACTCTCTCACTTCAGTCCGAATCTCCACCAGTTCTCAAGGCATATGCATGTCTAACTCGACGGGCGAAAGAGAATCCCAACTCTCCTAAACCTCAAGTATTAGTGCCGGCTCAAGGGGACAATAATTCATGTACTCTTCGATCTCATTCAAAATCATCTTCCAATTTCTCATTAAATAATCAGACTTCCAGTACCTCTATGAATCAACAATCGTCTTCTGCCTTTGGCGCTTCTAACAACCCCCCTGTAGACCAGGAAAAGTTTAGCTTCACAGACTTCAAGTTTAAGGGCATACTAGGTGAAGGACGAAGTGGTAAAACACTCCGTTGCGTGTTTCGTGGCAAAATGATTGCTTTGAAGAGCGTAAACTTATCAAAGCTCTGCCGTATGTCTTAGAAGAAATGCAAAAAGAAGTCGAGATTTATAAAGACCTAGCCGATATTCAAGGCAAGTATATCTCCAAGTTGGTCTGTTATGGATATTATGGAGGAGGTATGAGTTTCGTTATAGGTATGACTATTGTCGGCACTTCGTTGAGCGAGCAAAAAATAAAGAAACAGCAAAAGTCAAGGGCTATTAAGGGATTAGAAGCGATCCACAAGCATGGCATCCTTCATAATGATATTTGGGAGGAAAACATCTTAATTAATGATAACGACGATATCTACCTGATTGACTTCGGGATGGCAAGTCAGGAGGACACAAAAAAGAAGAGAAAACCTTTCGAGGAGGAACAGCTCAAATACTCTAACTTACTAGATAGATATAATACGTAAGAATTTACTATTATCAAATTCCTATATTACAATTTCTTGTAACTCTGCCGTTAAGGCGCTTCACAGTTTCTTTTCATTAATAAATATGTACTTTATAACAGTTATTTCGTAAAGAACGCGGGGCGAATTCCCAAGTCACGTAAATGTCAGGTGATTAGTTAGACTGTAGGATTATACATTAGTCATTAGCATAGACGTCATGTATCACGGGCTACGTCCCGAATATTTGTATTTATTTTTAGCATGTATTAATAAAAAAAATTATTCTTAGCAAATTTCAGCGAACTTGATTCGCCCAAAACATATGATATATATTTTTTTATTTTGAATAGTTATATACAATATATTAGTTATTATTGATCATGTCATCCGAGCTTGAAGTATTGAAACAGCGTATCATTGAACTTGAGGCTGAGAATGCCGAAATACCTGATCTTAGAAGAAAGATCTCAGAGTTCGATACTGAGAGAGTTGAACTTAGAAGAAAGTTCTCAGAGTTCGATGCTGAGAGAGTTGATCTTAGAAGAAAGCTCTCAGTGTCTGATGCTGAAATAGCTGAACTTAAGTGTAGTAATAACGAGTTTCTAAGAGCGAATAAGGAATATAATGAGAGGCGTGATGCTGAAAATGCCAAACTCAGGGCCAGAATCGAGGAGTTAGAGAAAAACAAGGAAGATTCTTCAGCCGAGAATGTTAGGCGTGATGTTGAAATTGCTGAGATTAAGGCTGAAGTAGTGAAACTAAGAGACAATAACGAGAAAAGCAAACAGTTAACTTCCCGTCAATCAGATGTTACTTCTAAAGAAATGATTTCAGGATATGATCAGAATACTATAAATGAGATAGAGCCTCAAAGCTCTGTTTCCTCGAATACTATTAATCTGGTATCGAATGTATATGAGATGACGGATGTGAGTGATCATGCTTTAGTGTCTTCGGATAAATCATCGGAGGAAAAAGAGACAGTCACTTTCTTGAATGAGGAGTATAAGAAAAGAGATAGTGAAGAGATTAGGCAAAGGAATAGAGAGAAAAAACTTCAGCGATGTTAAGCCTAAACACTACGTCGTTAGGATAACAAAGCTTATTTGCTAACAGGGAGTTTAAATGATAAACTATGAAA